GGCAGGAGAATTGCCTGAACCCAGGAGGCAGAGGTTGCGGTGAGCCGAGATCGCGCCATTGCACTCCAGCCTGGGTAACAAGAGCGAAACTCCGTCTCAAAAAATAAATAAATAAATAAATAAAATCATCTAAAATGTACCCTGAGATATGCTTTTTTTTCCTTTTGACTAAGAAATTATTGCTTTTCAGAATCATGTGTTGTATGTTTTCATAAATCTCTTCATCTAGCATATGCTATATATATACATGAAAAGTCTGTGTATTTATATACATTTCTACACAAACGTTGTTGACAAACTCTGCTTAATGTTAGTTCCAATTACAAATGGTAAAATTCGATGTTTTTCACACATCAGATATTTAAGGAGTTTTAAAATTATATATATATCTTAAAATGCCAACGGGAATCTTTTTGGAGCAAAGTGTCATCTTAATGAGGTTTTATGATGTAGCAGTGGATGGAAGATGTTCTGGTATTATTAAAAATGTATATTTGGTATTTCTTGGGCTATTCGAGAGTCCAGAGAACCTCGTCTTTTCCTTTTGGATGCCATCAGATTCCTAGAAGGCATCCTGGGGCTTTTCTCTGCTCTTGATATTTGGCTCCTAAGTGACTCAGGGCCCTGAACTCCTGGTACCAGTGAATCATAGATTCTGCTCCAAGACACACTTTGGGAGTGAGAAGTGAAAGCAAAACTGATCAAACTGGGTGTGGCTGAGGGGGCCCTTCCACCGAGCAGCGTAGCTTTGGACACAGGCTGTTGCTTCTAGAAAGGAGGGGTTGCATGTGGAAAGGATGGGTGATGGTTTCGTGAGGTGGTAGACACGTGATGGGAATCAGTCGGGTGTCAACAATGACAGAGGTGCCAAGCTGCATGATCCCCTCCCATGTCTGAGTCAGGAGCCTTCCAAACCACCCAACACACGATAGCAAAAACAAGAAACAGAACAAACCAATCATTTGCTTTGGAGAGTTAGCTTCTGGAGAGAGGAGACTCCTTCCCACCCAGGTTTGGACATTTTAAAGACCCTGGAGACATTTCCAGAGTGGAAGTACTGTGCAGTGCCATTCTGTCCTGGGGACCTTCTGAGACATATTCTTAGGGGACTTCAATGTTTGCTCATAGTAAGTGAAAAGGCCTAAGCGTCATGGCCAAGAAGTTGAAACCATGTGATCCAGGTCCAGATACAATGTACCATCATGAAAGGAAATAATGTATCATCCTGATTACCTTTAAATAGCTCCCCTTTCATCACTCCCTTTTAAGTACACGCACACATGCACGCATCTCTTTGGAAGTGGCAGAAGCCAAATGCTTGGAGTTTCCTGGCATCTGAGCTTTGTCTCAGCAGCTCTCAAATGTATACACTGCTCTTCGCATCCACTTTGAAGTTCAACGGCCCAGCTCCTTTTTTACACAGTTACTGTCATGACAATAAACACCCTGCCAGCCTTGACACCCCATCTACCCTAGCCTCATGGAATTCTCTGGCACACTCACTTTCTCTATGTGTCTTTTGGTGCCTCTTTGTATCATGTAGATTTTAGGTCCATCTGGTAATAACAGTACCTTTCTATACACAATGTATTCAGTTACTGTTAAACAATAAAAGTTATTTGATATCAGCAATGTGTGTCCCTGGGAGACAGGAGGATTGGAGGACAGTGGGAGCTAGAAACAGGAGGGTTGCAACACTTCTCAAGGGCTTTCCGCTTCTCCCAGTCACCAGGGTGGTGCAGCTCTATTCTCCCTCCACTGGCACTGATCCTGGTGCTCCAGAAAAAAACAAAGTGGCTCAGGGTCCCTTTGCAAAGTAGAGGCTTGTCCTTGAAGTGCCAGGACAGAGTGGTTGCTTTAGTCCTGGGTTCTAGTAAGCAGCTGCCCAGGCTGATGTTAAAGCCACTGAGGATTGGCCGGGTGTGGTGGCTCCCGCCTGTAATACCAGCACTTTGGGAATACAAGGCAAGCAGATCACGAGGTCAGGAATTTGAGACCAGCCCGGCCAAAATAGTGAAACCCTGTCTCTACTAAAAATACAAAAAATTAGCTGGGCGTGGTGATGGGCACCTGTAATTCCAGCTACTTGGGAGGCTGATGCAGGAAAATCACTTGAACCCAGGAGGCAGAGGTTGCGGTGAGCCGAGATTGCGCCACTGCACTCCAGCCTAGGCAACAATGTGAGACTTCTTCCCCCCCACACACAAAAAAAAAGCCACCAAGGATGGAAAGGGCACTAGGGAAGGTATCTGGAGGTGACTCTCCTTTCACTCCTACCCATATCAGGTTGGCATTCCTGTGGCTCAGAGTATGAAAGGTGAACCTTTCCTTTACTTCCCCTGCCTGTGAAGCAAGGGAGACTACCTGCTTGTAGAACACTGGTTGAGGGTGAGTTTTCAAGGGTCCCTTGTAGTGATGCCACCAAGGGGTGGCTTGCAGATGAGGCAGGGGGTTACCACTCCCAGAACGTTTTCAAAATCATCCCCTACCCCCCAAAGAGAAAGAGCCTAGAGAGGGGTGAGCATCTTCACACCTCCCTTCCAGCCAGGGCTGCGGGGGAACCCTTCAGAGTGCAGAGCATAACCTCCCCCTCCTCATTGTGAATAGCATCAAGAAGGCTTTTTTATTTATTTATTTTTAAATGTTTCAAAGCTATCATGGCAGGAAAACCAAAAAAGGGAGTGTTTCAAAACTTTTACATAACATATATCACGGTCCCCCTGAAATTAGTCATAAATCCTATTTCACCCTGGTTTTATTGGGAGACAACCTATTAAGCATTGCTATCAAGGAGTACACAGTGCCTCCTCCAAACAGTTAAGAATATTAACATTTCCTATGTCAACTTGTCCTCAAGGATTGTGGCAACTCTTTCCTTCAGGGGTTCACCCCCTACAACAACAGCAAAAGGCAGTCCCATTTCCTGGGCTTTATCTATGACAAGAGAGAGAAGGTGGCATTCTCCCAGAGGACATGTTGAGTTCGTGGCTAAGGCAATATGTGGGCTAAACAGAGCTGAAGGGGGAAAGATGCAGGCATGCTTTCTGGGAATAAATACAGGATAGAGCAGAAAAGAATGAGGGTAAGGCTGGGTGTGGTGGCTCCTGCCTGAAATCCCAGCACTTTGGGAGGCAGAGGCAGGTGGATCACCTGAGGTCGGGAGTTCAAGACCAGGCTGACCAACATGGTGAAAACTCATCTCTACTAAAATACAAAAATTAAGCGGGCGTGGTTACAGGCGCTTGTAGTCCCAGCTCCTCAGGAGGCTGATGCAGGAGAATCTCTTGAACCCAGAGGCAGAGGTTGTGGTGAGCCAAGATCACACCACTGCACCCTAGCCTGGGCGACAGAGTGAGACTCCATCTCAAAAAAAAAAAAAAGAAAAGAAAATCACTGCTTTTGGACACATGTTTGAACTATCAGAACAAAAGTTTCATTCGTACAAGAGGAAAAGACAAAATCAAAACACCCAACAATCAAACCCAGAAACAACAAATGAGGGCTTTCCCCCTTGTGTTTCTGCAGAGTTTTCACCTGAATTTGCAAAGCTAAGTGGCTCAGATTCTTCAGAGAGGAGTTTGATTAACCATTTGGATTTATGAGTAATTTCTTAATCTATATGCAAAATTGCAGTTCTTCTGCCACATAAAACACAATTCTTCTATTTTTGGAAAACACATCTGAACCTCAGCATGTTTCACATACGTGGAATTGTGGGCATCACACAAACCTAGATGTCAGTCTTTGTTTCAAAAAAGCGTACACTTTTGAAAAAGCTTAAATGTTTGGGAGGCCAAGGCAGGTGGATCACAAGGTCAGGAGATTGAGACCAGCCTAGCCAAATGGTGAAACCCCAACTCTACTAAAAATACAAAAATCAGCTGGGGATGTTGGTGTGTGCCAGAAGTCCCAGCAACTAGGGATGCTGAGGAAGGAGAATTGCTTGAACCCAGGACGCAGAGGTTGCAGTGAGCCGAGATCACACAATTGCATTCCAGCCTGGGCAACAGAGCAAGACTCTGTCTCAAAAAAA